ACTTTCCCCAACACTGTCTAAAATGTGACCCTGTCTGTGAAATCTGGGCTAAAGTCTCAAAAGCGAATTATGAGATAACAAGCATCAAAGTTTGATTTCAACCATTAATTTCACTTTGCTTTCAATCTTTGACATGGCCTTACTCAGTCAATATTAAAGATATAACGGTTATATTTTCACAGAATGTTTTGATTTTATGTAGAAAACAGTAAATCACAAAAATGACTTTAGCTGTTTTCACAGGCAGGGTCACAAATAAGGTGTGTGGTGAACACAAGCTCAAGATACATTCACATTTTATTCTACGACATAAAATACATCCCTAAGACCCAGTGTTTGGGGTAACGCATTACAAGTAACGCGAGTTACGTAATCAGATTAGTTACTTTTTCAAGTAACTAGTAAAGTAACGCATTACTTTTTTAATTTACAAGAGAATATCTGAGTTACTTTTTCAAATAGTTACTTTTTTTCAATTTATTGATTGACAGCTCTCCTGTCCCCGTGTTGAGAGAAATCAGAAGATGTTACTGTAGTTTGAAAATAAATATGAATATGCTTTAATTCATCTCACTCACACACACACAAAAAAAAACAAGCATGCCCTGTCCAGATTTAAAAAGTAACGCAAAAGTAACATAATACATTACTTTCCATAAAAAGTAACTAAGTAACTAAATTAGTTACTTTTTTAGGGAGTAACGCAATATTGTAATGCATTACTTTTAAAAGTAACTTTCCCCAACACTGCTCTAGACAAACATTTGTGTGTGTTTTTTTTATTGCTGAAGTGTGTTGAATTTTTTTCTTCTGCATTCTACTGTACGGACGTAAATCTACTTTCCCTTCAGCCTGAGGCTTATTCATTTCACGTTTGGTGTGAAAGGCTTTTATATTTGCCAAAAATAGAACTTTTTTATTTTAAAAACAAACAAGCAAGCCCTGTCCAGATTTAAAAAGTAACGCAAAAGTAACATAACACATTACTTTCCATAAAAAGTAACTAAGTAACGAAATTAGTTACTTTTTTATGGAGTAACGCAATATTGTAATGCATTACTTTTAAAAGTAACTTTCCCCAACACCCCCTTGTGATTTTTAAAAAGCTTTTACTTGTCTTGAAAAAGGTTGCTAACAAGTGTTTAAATGGGACTACAGTGGGGGTGTTAAATAGGTAAACTCATCTTATCACTACCCTTTCACAGCCTCACCATGTTTATAATCACAGTCTTGAAAACTATTATAACAAATGCCAATGGAAAAATCTTTGTGATGTGAACTACAAAAATACGTCATCACTGCAAGTACTTTATTTACAGCCATTCAGAAGTAGATCTTTTTCCAATCTGACTTTCTGAAGGCCCTTAAAACATAAAATGAATGATTTTCTTTTGAATCTGAACTGGACCTGAACACTCTTAACAGGTTTTTTATGCACTCACTGACAAAATATGTGACCTACTTACTGCTGTGATGAAATACTTTTTCTGGTAATTTACGGAGTAAAAGTGTTATTCTGTTATGATTTCTGTCTTTCCGTTATTGCATTAATGCATCAAATTCACAATGCCTATGGCAATACCATAGTAACACGGTGGCAGTTGACATGTCTTCACAGGTGAGGAGAACATTGTATTGAACTTGGCGCAATTAAAGCATTACTCATGCATTAGCTATGATTAGTTTTGAAAGTGTGTATGTTTATGAAATCACTGGTTTGACAAAAAAGAGGCCCTATTGAACATGTTAACAACTGTAGTTCTTAGTTATTTGGACAGATCCTCTCGTTTTGGCTACTGTTGCCAGGGGGGCAAATATTTCTTGTTCCATCTTTTTATTGATGTATAGCCGGCCCTCTGCTGCTGATGAGTCAGACTATCCCTCCTGAACGCCTGACCAGCACAGCTGCTAACTTTAACTTGTTTCTTACCTACTGAGGGAGGTCCTTCTTAAAGGGACAGTCCACCCAAAACATCCCCCTCGTGTCATTCCAAACCTGTATGCATTTCTTTTTGAAACACACAATAGATGCTATTTTAAAGAATGTTGGTAAACAAATAGTTTTAGGTCCAATTGACGTCCATGACAAAAAACGATGGGACCTGGTCACCAACATTCTTCAAAATAGCTTTATTTGTGCTCAGCGGAAGAAATAAATACAGTTTTGAAATGACATGCGGGTGAGTAAACGATGACCCAAATGATGTTTTGGGTAGACTATCCCTTTAAACACAAAACATTGCGATAACTTCATACATGGTCATTTAAACGATAATATTCATTCTATCTGAGTTTGGCAATAGTACAATGCATCTTTGCAATCATAAAACTCGGAATTCCAAGAAAAAAAGTCAAGATAGCGAGAAGTAAATTCAGAATTCTGATAAAAAAAAATTTCACTATGAGATCTAAAAATGTAGAAGTGTGAGATAAAAAGATGTAATTACTTTTTTAATTGTATAGATTTTTTATTTTGTGGCGGAAACAAGCCACAAATTCCATGCAAATAAATTTGAATTTAATTGAAGTTAATAAATAATGTAAGACAGCAGAATATGTGCCTATAAATTAGAATTCCATCACTTACATTTGCTAGTAAAAAAAAAAAAAAGAAGTGTATATATTACTATATTTAGGCCTATGGAAAACTATCATTAATAGTTAAAGATTCCAGCTTTTTTAAGCCTTATACTTCCTTATACTTATCATATGTCTTTAAATCACTTGGAATATAGGTCATGGGTCATATGAGTTATTTTTATGCACTGTAAGAAAAGCAGGGACTTTTCTTACACTGAAAAACATCTTGTGTAGGATTTACTTTGAAACAGTTTCCCTCAGAAATTGCTGGTGAATTATACTCTTAAGTATACTCTTCTTCAATAGTGTTGGGCAGTATGCTCCATAATTATATCGTCCTATCGTCAGCCTGTGAGATCGCAAATAACGATATTATTGTGCTGATGTATTTAATTATTTATTCTTAGTTTCATAGCTGGAGAGTGAACCAACTCCATGGCACGGCTAAAAGCAGCCTAATGTTAGTGTAATCTATCTTTTTATTCAAGTAGCATATGGATGTCATAAAATATTTATATTTATAATAACACTGTAGGCCTAAGTTACTAATTATAATGCTTATATTTCCTCAGTTATTCAAACAGTAGCTACATAAACGCAAAGAACATTTACACCGACTCGCGTTATAATCAGTGAAGCCGTCTACACTGTATGATGAATAAATCTTTTATAGGCTACTTACATCGCACATATATCTGCACTTTGTTGTTTATGATGAGAGAATCTGCGAGGAAGCAATGAACAACCAAACTCTGGTGTTTCAGCGATGACTCATCTGAACGCCTCTGATTCCGTTCAGAAGCTCAACATAATCGTGTGTGATTGGTTTTATAAAATGGATAGTTTCCGGTCCTTGATTCTGATTGGTTGAGCCAAGTTCGAAGCTGTTGTAAATTACTCTACAAACACACACCTTTGTTTACTTCTGTGTGTTGCTCGGCAGCCACTTTGTTGGAACCACAACCGTTTCTGAGGAACTACATTGTTTGGCGGAAGAATACTGTTTTTATTTATATCATTACACTTTATTTGCTCGGTTTTATTTTGTGAAACCTTACTACGTATATGGAATAACCGTTTTATAAAAGCAATAAGCACCCGTGAAGCCGTGGTTTACAGTGAATTTATAACAGCAAAAGGGCGTTGTAGGTACGACAACCGTTTTATAAAAGCAATAAGCCCCGTGAAGCCGTGGTTTACAGTGAATTTATAACAGCAAAAGGGCGTTGTAGGTACGACAACCGTTTTATAAAAGCAATAAGCCCCGTGAAGCCGTGGTTTACAGTGAATTTATAACAGCAAAAGGGCGTTGTAGGTACGACAACCGTTTTATAAAAGCAATAAGCCCCGTGAAGCCGTGGTTTACAGTGAATTTATAACAGCAAAAGGGCGTTGTCTCTAAATGTATATTTATGGGGAAATAAGTCAAATAATATGAAAGAATAACAATTCTTGGCATGGGAAAAGTGTTGCCCATCTTGGGTAATACTAAGAATTTGGCGCCCTCTGGTGAACATTTTTCCAAATGTATTGGCCTATTTATTTATTTATTTATTTTCATAGCTGTGGTCCTTTCTAAACAATTTAAATTAAATTCTAATTCACTTTCCAAATGACTTGATTCAAGAGCGACCCGATAATCACTAAAAACAATCTTAACATGAGCGTAAACTTAAAAATATGCATTTATTCAAAAATAAGTCACAGAAACAAACATACGATAGACTGAACAATTTGGTGTAGTATTTTCTTTGAAACGATTTTCATTGACATTGCTAGTAAATTTCCCAAATAATTACAAAGAAACGGCAAGTAATGCACTGAATTAAATGAAATTTTCAAGTACAAAAACTGAAATAGTATTATCTATTTTTACAGTGTATGATCTGATCACAAAACAATGATATTTAAGGCCTAGAGAAAATCTCTTATGATATATTCAAGTGGGAAAAAAATCAGGCATCCCTTTGTTCTACATATACGGCAGACCAACCCTCATGTGTTTGACATCTGGTATCTGATTGAACCATGAACCCATGAGAGTTGTTGAACTGTAATGTTTATGCATGCGCCCTGCCATGTCACCATCTAATAAATTAGACAATCATTTACCAGTGTTCTCCATACTAAATATTTATATACTGCTTGGAGACCGTTTATTGTGTTCATTTTTCACTAACATGAAAATTTTAACACTGTTAGATTTTAACACTAATATTATGCATGATCCTACTCACTATACAGTATGTAAAATAGAATGACCCCTTGTCCTCAGTTATATGTGTTTATCAGCAGAGGTCATAAGTATATAACGTTATTCATGTCTGTTTAACTCAGGACCTTTATACATGTGGTTATAGGCACGTGTGGACAGTTGGCATGGCAAGACTGTTGGACATTTCTCTTGGCATGTCTGCTGCTTGTCCATGTGTGAAGACCTCAGGTCCGGTGTGTGTGGGTAGCAAGGGATCTTCAGACAAAGCTGCTGCATACAAAAGATCAGAATGACAAAAGTGACATTAATAATCCAATAGGCTATATACCTAATGAAGTAATATTGAATTGAAAATGCTTTGAAACTATGTATTGTGAAAAGCGCGATGCAAATCTAAGGCAACTTGTTTCTGCAATGCAAAAAATAAATTCATTCAAAAATGACCTTTTATCTCAAAATACCGACTTGAAATATAAACAATTGTGAGAAAAAAGTCAGAATTGCGAGGTTAACTTGCAATAATGAGAAAAAAGTTGCAATTACTTTTTTAAACTTATTTATTCTGAAACAGAAAACAGAATTACGAGATGAATTACGAGATGTAAACTCGGAATTCCAAGAAAAAAAGTCAAGATAGCGAGAAGTAAATTCAGAATTCTGATAAAAAAAAATTTCACTATGAGATCTAAAAATGTAGAAGTGTGAGATAAAAAGATGTAATTACTTTTTTAATTGTATTGATTTTTTATTTTGTGGCGGAAACAAGCCACAAATTCCATGCAAATATTGATGAATTTAATTGAAGTTAATAAATAATGTAAGACAGCAGAATATGTGCCTATAAATTAGAATTCCATGTAAACAAAGTACAAAAAGTAGTGTATATATTACTATATTTAGGCCTATGGAAAACTATCATTAATAGTTAAAGATTCCAGCTTTTTTAAGCCTTATACTTCCTTATACTTATCATATGTCTTTAAATCACTTGGAATATAGGTCATGGGTCATATGAGTTATTTTTATGCACTGTAAGAAAAGCAGGGACTTTTCTTACACTGAAAAACATCTTGTGTAGGATTTACTTTGAAACAGTTTCCCTCAGAAATTGCTGGTGAATTATACTCTTAAGTATACTCTTCTTCAATAGTGTTGGGCAGTATGCTCCATAATTATATCGTCCTATCGTCAGCCTGTGAGATCGCAAATAACGATATTATTGTGCTGATGTATTTAATTATTTATTCTTAGTTTCATAGCTGGAGAGTGAACCAACTCCATGGCACGGCTAAAAGCAGCCTAATGTTAGTGTAATCTATCTTTTTATTCAAGTAGCATATGGATGTCATAAAATATTTATATTTATAATAACACTGTAGGCCTAAGTTACTAATTATAATGCTTATATTTCCTCAGTTATTCAAACAGTAGCTACATAAACGCAAAGAACATTTACACCGACTCGCGTTATAATCAGTGAAGCCGTCTACACTGTATGATGAATAAATCTTTTATAGGCTACTTACATCGCACATATATCTGCACTTTGTTGTTTATGATGAGAGAATCTGCGAGGAAGCAATGAACAACCAAACTCTGGTGTTTCAGCGATGACTCATCTGAACGCCTCTGATTCCGTTCAGAAGCTCAACATAATCGTGTGTGATTGGTTTTATAAAATGGATAGTTTCCGGTCCTTGATTCTGATTGGTTGAGCCAAGTTCGAAGCTGTTGTAAATTACTCTACAAACACACACCTTTGTTTACTTCTGTGTGTTGCTCGGCAGCCACTTTGTTGGAACCACAACCGTTTCTGAGGAACTACATTGTTTGGCGGAAGAATACTGTTTTTATTTATATCATTACACTTTATTTGCTCGGTTTTATTTTGTGAAACCTTACTACGTATATGGAATAACCGTTTTATAAAAGCAATAAGCACCCGTGAAGCCGTGGTTTACAGTGAATTTATAACAGCAAAAGGGCGTTGTAGGTACGACAACCGTTTTATAAAAGCAATAAGCCCCGTGAAGCCGTGGTTTACAGTGAATTTATAACAGCAAAAGGGCGTTGTTCGGTACGACGCGAAGAGGACGTATATGGAATAACCGTTTTATAAAAGTAATAAGCCCCGTGAAGCCGTGGTTTACAGTGAAATTATAACAGCTAAGGGGGTTGTATGCACTCCGCTTCGCGTCGTACCTAACAACGCCCCTTAGCTGTTATAAATTCACTGTAAACCACGGCTTCTTGGGGTTTATTGCTTTAATAACGCACGACACTGTAAAAACCCGGAAAAAGAATTATGATGGAACAAATAAGCCCTAATATTAATTAGATAATAATACTAGCCTGATAACAATAATAATAAAAATATAATAATCGTCTTGCTTTCGTCAAAGGCATCAGCCACAGGCGATATCTCTATCGTCGATACACAATGCTATATTATACTATCGTCTATCGGCACAACCCTACTCTGCAAGAAACATGGAATTAAACATGCAATTTTGAAGTAAAAAGACTGAAATGGTATTTTCTTGTAAAATGTACTCCAGTAATATTTGTTTTATCTATGGAACATCTTCGAAAAAATATTTGTTTACAGCATGATGTTCAATTTGACTGTTTGGGAGAAGCTCCTGGGAACTGCTTTCATCGTGTGGAAAACAGCAGCATGGACATGGAGGTAGAAAAAGTCTTATGCATTTAATACGACATAGACTGTTGATTTTTGGGTGAACTATCCCTTTAAACTCTATAGGACTGAAAGCTGGACTACCTGTGCTTGAGATACTCACAGGAGGGTACAGGAAGGATCACGGATGTGAAGTTAGGCATTAGGATATGCTCCGTCAGTATTCCTCTGGAGAGGACAGACTCTGCAGCTGTGGTGAATATAAGTGGCTCAGGATTTGACTCTACAGAAAGGCAAAAAAAAAAAAAAAGTTACTGTTTTATTCCATTTCCAACCTGTTCATACTTTAACTGCAGGTAAGTCAGAAAGAGCCCCCATTCCCTCAGAGAACTAATGGTGGGTCTTATCTAAAGCCCGAGAGCTAGACTGAGACAGATGGACTCTGGACTGAGATCTCCTATGGAATCTTAACCAGCTCTGAGTTCACTGAAGTTTATATGCTATGTCTCTGGACCAACACTGCTCATCTAATTCTAAGAGTTTATATACTGATCCTAAATCAGCAGTATATGGCAACCCAGAGGAACATTTTATAGTTCAGGAGAGTTTATTGAATTCTCAGCTATCTTAGACTTTTGATCGACATTTGGTCTCATATGTTCCTCCTAAAATTCCTTGTGAAAAAAATAAACATAGAGGAGAAACTATTTTTGACATACACTATGAATATAAAGCACTGGAAAAAAAATATTAATTTAATTTACTAAAGTTTTTTAAGGTAAGTGGTTGCAATCAGTTGATTTTAGCTACATTTAAATAAACAAATTTAGTTGACTAACTTTAATTTTTTTTAAATGTAGCTAAAATAAATTGTTTGCAACCACTTACCTTCAAAAATGTAGTATACTTTTTTTTAAGTGTATTGAGCTTTTAAACAGAGTTCTTATGCAAATAATATACTTTAAAAGAATATACTTGAGTGCAGATTAACTATAAGGTTTTCAGACACAATTTCCATGCACTGTAAAAAAAAAAAGATACAAATTTTTTAAAAGTAAAATCGGAGCATGTTTTAGAAGAAAATAGTATTTAAGTTTTTTGTACTTTAAAATGTTTGTTAAATTTACTAACAATTTCAGAGAGAAAATACACCATTTTTTTTAAATGACGGTCACTTCCTGGTTAAGAATGTCATCAAGGCTTTTGTAAGGTAGCAGGATGGAAATTATTTACACAGGTACCACATACTGTATAAAATAATTTGCAATTGAAATTTTCAAGAAAATGTATTTTGTTTAAATTACAGAAAAAATTGCCAAAATATGTTTGTAATATATGCTAAATATAACAGTAAAGCTCAATGAAATATATTTTTGAAATTATAATATTGAAATATATGTAGTTTCTATCTCCATATGCCAGAATCAAAAATCATAGATTTATAATGATTAAATAATTTTTTATTTATTTTTTTGTGCAATGTTCACGTGTTATTTCTTCACACATTACAGACAACAAATAATATTTTTCTTCAAATGTGACGAAATCTATTTACATATATATATATTTGTGATCAAATATTTTGCAACATACTGTAGCAAATATATTTTTGGGCTAACATATATTTATATTATATATATTTATACTAGCAAAAAGATTTTTATAAAAAAAAAAAAATATATATATATATATATATATATATATATATATGAAGATTTTTTGAATACTTCCAAAAAAAAGATAAAAACCCGTAATATTTTACATTTTAGTTTTTCATGTTAGATCGTAGCACATGGGTACAAAAATGGCAACCTCTGCTAAAACCAAAATAAATTAAACAAAGCAAATCTTACTGACCAACCTGGCTCCACTCTTATAATCAGACCTCCAGGCCAACAGGCAGGAAAGTCTATAACTCAACAATCCTCACCAGCACGCCCCAGATATTAATAGATCCCCATAAAACATCATGAAACCAAGAGAGACAGTACAAGCAAAGAGTGCCAGGAACAAGTGCAGACGCTCCTGGCACAGACAGAGTGTTTGACTGGGAACACAGCAATGATCCCTGACTAACCTGGGGCGAAGAAGACGATGGTTTTGAGACAGACAAATTCAGTGTCTGTGATGTTCAGCTCTTTCAGGGGTCTCACCAGCTCTTCCAGGATACGAGTGGCTACCTTGGACATCTCCTCCTCGGTGCCTCGAACAGGAATGATGAAGTCGTTTCCTGTACAAACACGGTATAATGACAAATCATGCTCACATTAAGGTTGCAACTTTCGATACCTTGTGAGCTCTGTAACTTAAAAAAAAAAGTTTTTTAAAGCAAGTATTTGTATGAATTGCAGGTACTTAAAATTGATCAATTATACATTTTATAACATTTACTCAGTGACAATAAAGTGAACAAGAAGACAATGTAAATGAATGGGTGTAAATGAAGTCTCGAAATCAATGTTATTTTAGTATCATTAAGATACTATTATAGTTTTTTTTGTTTAATATTTTAAATTATTAGTATTTTTAGTTTTCATTTTAATTTTAGTTGAAGTTTTCATAATTTTGCTGTGTGTTTTTATTTTAAAATATATTAATATTTAAAAAAATATACATTTATTATTTTAAATTTTAATTAAATTGTATATATTTTTTATTTCGGTTATTTTAGTACATCAAGCTAAACTAAATAAACTAATTGGCAACTAGCTGAAATCAAATATGAAATGTTTTTATTTATTCATAATAAAATATTACATTTATTTTACTTTATTTCATTTTTATTTTAAATGAGTTAAAAACAAAAATAACAAAAAAAACTTTAAAAAAGTTTTAGTTAAATAATAACTCTGCTTGAAAACTGATTGTTTTTATAGGGTTTTATAGGCCTTTATCTCTTTTTTTTTCAACTCAGCAAATTTCTTCATGTAATTCCAATTCAACTTCCTGTGCACAATTCCAACCGTGCAATTTATTTCCTGGTAAGTGTAAATTCCCCTTTGCAGCCAATTTCATTGGTCAGCTGCATCATACAGTCACCTTTCGAGAATAGTTCACTAGTGTTTGAGGTAAAAAAACGAATATGATTTCCATTTTTTTAAATAGTAAGTTTAATTTGTGTGTTTGAATCATTTATCTAATGCATACAATATGATTGGGACATGAAAAATGTAGTGCAAACAGGAATGGCCTGTTTTCAAGTGAACCCAACCCAGCCACCCGCTCACCCAGCAGGATGATGCCATTGTAGGGAAGTGAACGTCGTGCCACCCCTAAGATGAGGTGCTCAGCGGAGTGAGCTCTTAACAGTGCCACCTGCACACACACACACACGCACACACACAGGTTTACATTTGTGAAAAGTGGGGACATCCCATAGGCGTAATGGTTTTTATACTGTACAGACCGTATATTCTATTGCCCTTCACCAACCCTACCCCTAAACCTACCCCTCACAGGAAACTTTCTGCTATTTCAGATTTTCAATACACTCCATTCTGTGTGATTTATAAGCGTTTTGAAAAGTGGGGACATGGGGTAATGTCCTGAAAAGTCACCTTCTCCTTGTAATACCTATGTCATACCTTTGTCATTATACAAATTTATGTCCTCATTTGTCACAAAAATGCGTACACACACACACACACACACACACACACACACATCAACACACTCATAGACAGGAAGTGACAGCTCGTGATCAAACAAACACAGTCAGGAACAGGCCTACCCTGTCATCCACCGAGAGCACACAGAACTCAGGGATGCGCTTCGCCCATTCCACTAGGAGGAGTAGCTGCTGTTTCATGGATTCACACACATCTCCAACGCCGGCTAGCTTCTTGGTGTTGATGTCCCTCATGGGATTCTGGTTCTGCAGATGGCAGAATGACTCTGCTTAATATAAATAGTTCAATTACAGTTACATTTGCATTTGTGCATTTCCCAGAAGCCTTTATCCAAAGCGACTGACAACAGAGAAACATAAGCAATTTGTCTCAGAGTGAGCAGTATTTGCAGTATGCAATGGCACATTTATTAGAAAGCTAGATTAGGACACAAGCTAGAGCAGAGGAGAAATTCAGAGGAGAGAAAGTGGTTTGCAAGTGCATTGGTTTAGGGCTGTGGAGTGTGCTTTCAGCTGCTTCTTAAAAGCTGTAATGGTTTCAGGAGGTTTGGAGGTTGGCAGCTCTTTCCACCAGAGAGGAGCAGAGAGGGTGAAGGTTCTGGAAAGTGATCTTGTGCCTCATTGTAAAGAAACACCAAGCTGAAGATGAAAATGGGCCAGCATGAAAATATTTTTATAACATGATTCGAGCTCAAGAAGCAAAATGTACGAGGCAAAGCTGTGGTTCTGATTCTTTTTTAGATGTATTATCCAAGACTGTAAGGTTCTTCCAAAAAACAAAAAACAAACAAACAAAAAAAAACACTTGTTTTGACAGATTGATTTTCAATTGTTTTATCTTATTTTCATGCTTGTTTTGTCTTATTTTAACCTTTGTGCAGTGTTGAAAATCTGAAACTCATTGCGTCCTTGTCAGAAATGACTGACCTGCTTTTTAAATCTCTCATTATACTGTCTGTATTATAACCAAATCTTACATTCAATATTTTAAACCTGTTTTCTTTCAATTAGCACAGTTTTTCTGTCTTTTTAAAAATGATTTATCATAGTTGTTGAGTGAAAAAAGATTTATTGGTGGCTAATTTTGTCAATGCTAACTCAAAAACCAAGGTCCATACATTCAGATCACTGAGATCTGTGACCAATCAGTTCCAAAAGGAAATCCAAAATCTGTGTTAATTGAAAGAAAACAAGTTGATCAAAGGATTGAATCCAGGATATAATGCTGGGTTAAATATAACCCAGCGCTGGGTTAAAAAGAGACAAACTCAGCCATTGGGTTGTTTTGACCCAGTGGCTGGGTTCAAAACAACCCAACCACTGGTTCAAAACAACCCAACCGCTGGGTCAAAACAACCCAATAGCTGAGTTCAAAACAACCCAACCGCTGGGTCAAAACAACACAATAGCTGGGTTCAAAACAACACAATAGCTGGGTCAAAACAACCCAACCGCTGGGTCAAAACAACCCAATAGCTGGGTTCAAAACAACCCAACCGCTGGTTCAAAACAACCCAACCGCTGGTTCAAAACAATCCAACCGCTGGGTCAAAACAACACAATAGCTAGGTTCAAAACAACACAATAGCTGGGTCAAAACAACACAGTAGCTGGGTTTGTCCCTTTTTAACCCAGTGCTGGGTTTTATTTAACCCAGCATATTTTAGAGTTCCAACCGCTGGGTCAAAACAACACAATAGCTAGGTTCAAAACAACACAATAGCTGGGTCAAAACAACCCAATAGCTGGGTTCAAAACACCCCAACCGCTGGTTCAAAACAACCCAACCGCTGGGTCAAAACAACCCAATAGCTGAGTTCAAAACAACCCAACCGCTGGGTCAAAACAACCCAATAGCTGAGTTCAAAACAACCCAACCGCTGGGTCAAAACAACCCAATAGCTGAGTTCAAAACAACCCAACCGCTGGGTCAAAACAACCCAATAGCTGAGTTCAAAACAACCCAACCGCTGGGTCAAAACAACCCAATAGCTGGGTTCAAAACAACCCAACCGCTGGTTCAAAACAATCCAACCGCTGGGTCAAAACAACACAATAGCTAGGTTCAAAACAACACAATAGCTGGGTCAAAACAACACAGTAGCTGGGTTTGTCCCTTTTTAACCCAGTGCTGGGTTTTATTTAACCCAGCATATTTTAGAGTATAATAATATAGCACATCAAGATATTTATAAACAATTTTTTTGTAGGCTTTGCATCCCCAAAATTCCCTAAAAAGTCCAATGCACCAACTATTTTGGAAAAAAGATAACCTTCTCCAGATGAAAATGACCCGAACACAACATGAGGGTCAAACCAATTGAAGCCATTCGGAGGTCAAATGCCCCCAAATAACTGCCTCACTTAAATCATTGTTTAGGGTTTATACTGTTCACTCTTAAAGGTATATTGTGTAAGAAAAGGATATTGTTTACAAATGTGAATATTTTGAAAGTAAGTTAGGCAAGAAAGTTCACCTGATGAATGTAAGCCTCTGCCTGCATCAGCACATCAATGGTGAGAGTCCTGGCGCCTTGACCTTCTCTACGACAGCTTATGTAACCCAGCATATTTTAGAGTATAATAATATAGCACATCAAGATATTTATAAACAATTTTTTTGTAGGCTTTGCATCCCCAAAATTCCCTAAAAAGTCCAATGCACCAACTATTTTGGAAAAAAGATAACCTTCTCCAGATGAAAATGACCCGAACACAACATGAGGGTCAAACCAATTGAAGCCATTCGGAGGTCAAATGCCCCCAAATAACTGCCTCACTTAAATCATTGTTTAGGGTTTATACTGTTCACTCTTAAAGGTATATTGTGTAAGAAAAGGATATTGTTTACAAATGTGAATATTTTGAAAGTAAGTTAGGCAAGAAAGTTCACCTGATGAATGTAAGCCTCTGCCTGCATCAGCACATCAATGGTGAGAGTCCTGGCGCCTTGACCTTCTCTACGACAGCTGATACGGTCACGCTCATTCTGAACAGCTAAGAGACACAAACAAAGAGGAAAATAAAACCAACTTTCTTGTATATATATACACACTACCGTGTTATGAGGATCAGTAAGACTTGTAATGTTTTTAAAGAGTCTCTTATGCTCATCAAGGCTGCATTTATTTGATCAAAAATACAGAAAAAAACTGTAATGTTATTACAATATAAAATAATGGTTTCTATTTTAATATACTTTAAAATATAATTTATTTCTGTGATGCAAAGCTGAATTTCCATCAGCCATTACTCCAGTATAAAGTGTCACATGATCCTTAAGAAATCATTCTAATATGCTGATTTATTATTAGAATTATCAATGTTGGCAACAGTTGTGCTGCTTAATATTTTTTTGGAAACTGCGATACTTTTTTCCGGATTCTTTGATGAATAAAAAGTTAAGAACAGCATTTATTCAAAATATAAATATTTTCTAACAATATAAATCTTTGCTATCACTTCTTAACAATTTAACACATCCGTGCTGAATAAAAGTTTTAATTTCTTTCAAAAAAAGAAAGAATAAAAAT